ATCTAGAGTGATGTGACAACAGCTGCAGGATATCGGGTAAGTGTTCCTGAGCATTTCCCGGGATGAGTGAAAACAAACTAAGTAGAAGCTGTGATATAAAACAGAACACTTCACTGCTTAGTTCCTTCCTTGCAACCTCTACATGAAAAAGCAAGTAAGGGAATAGCTGAAAGAAGCATCTAGGATTTTGTTAAAACCATTTAAAGAGCCCTTTAAACTAGGGTAGGAACAAAAAGTGCAAGAGCTAATGCAATACAGGCCAAACAGACAGCAAGAAACAATTCCAGAGTTAAACAAGCCCACAGAGTTATTAACCATTCTCTGTGATGTGACTCACACATGCCTTTGTCCTCTTTGTCCTGCAGTTCAGGGCTCACCAGAAATTGTTAACATCTTTCTGAAATGTTTTTAGGTTGTTGTGTTGGTTTTTAGGTGGTTTTTTTTGGTTTTGTTTTTGTTTTTTTTTTGCTGCACATCATCTTTCAGTGGAGTTTACTAGTACAGAAAGCACTCATCTCACAGGCTTAATCCAAGATCAGCTGGGTAAATGTGTCTGATATTGTAAACTGTAGCTATTTTTAATTCACTTATGTGAGAATACAAAAAAGGTAGGCAGTAGAAAAATGCCTTTTTTTTCATTTTCTATGAGAAAATAAGTGAATCTGTTTCAAGTAGCAGCTTGAAGCCTCTTGTATGGCATAGATTATCAGATGAATATTTAAGGAAAGAAACAGACCTAAATAGAAGATTCACACTTCAAAAACTAATTTCAACATACTACTGAGGTGATCCTGCTGATGCCTGAGGAAGCCACATGACAGCTGAGATTTCTATTTAAAGCCAAAAAGGATTTCACAGGATCACACTATGTCCAAACTAACACAGGCAGACAGTTAATACAAGCAGAACATCACAACTGCACCCAAAGAATTTGGTAAAACCTGGTATGTCACTGTTATGTGACCAGCCTTGGAAATGACCCAGTAAAATATTGCATCATGGATGAACTCTGTGTCTGATGAGTGCACGAGTAATTCTTTCAGTCATAAGAAGCCTAGTTTTTCTCAGAACCCCACTGCTCAGAAATTAAATGTCTTGGAAACGGCTATTTGGAGTCAGAATTCAGAAACATATCTGTTTGTTTCTGGTCTTTTTGCTCTAGTGCACAGAAAGTCTTCCAGCATGACTGTGAGCACAAACCATGACATAATGACAATGAAAGACTGCATGGAACCCACTGGGGGAAAAAGCAAACAAAGCCCTCAAACCTCAGTGACAAAAAAGTCCTCAGAGGCTGAAATCTCAACCATATATAAAATGAGATAGAAATTTGATTTCACTGCAACCATTCAGTGAAATTTGATTTCACTGCAACCATTCAGGTTATGCTCTGTTACCTTTGTGAATAGAGTTTTACTGCAGGAATCCTACTGTGCTTAGAAAGCCTTATGTGCTACAAAACATAGAAACCTTAATGTTCCCATCCCACCAGTAACTGAGAATGGCATAAATACACTGTCATAAAGGAAAATAAAACTACTATATTTTTACTGCCATAACAGAGCCTTTTAACTATGACAACAAACAACAAAAAAATCATCAAATGTCAAAATACTGACAAGATATCAGAAATTTGAGGGGTGGGCAAAACAGTAGTATTCACAAAAGCCATATAAGAATTCCCACACATTGTAGGTTGCATCTGAAAAAAGCCTCAGTGCAGATCCATTTTTTTACTTATTTAGCATTAATTATTAGCAACCCTAAAAATCTATTTTAAAACTGCTCCTCCTTTGTTGACTGCTTCCTCCTTCACACCTCCTGCACGCACTGACACCCGGGCAGCATGACTGGCAGTAGGAAGGAAGCTGCTGCTCCCAAGTGGAGTTTGATGAGTGCTGCGTGTTGTGTTCTGCCAGTCTCTGGCCTGATACATCATTCAATAGCAACTCCCCCTCTTCTGCACTCCAGCATTGGGAATAGATTGCCAGGCTAGGAATCAATTAGAAATTTGAGAATTACAATAGTCTGTGGGTGGCAATTATTAACAATTCCGTTTTCCTTCAAATTTTTTGATGCTAACATGGTAACTGTTTCCACTGAATGGCTGCTGAGTATATTTTCTTGCTACCTTCCTATCTTAGATCAGCAATACACAACTCAAATGTGAACAACAGTCTGGATTTTTATCTCCATCCTGCTCTCTGCAGTAATGAGAGAGAGGAAAATAAAAAAATCATATCCTCCTTTAAAAGAGGCGCCTGAAAACAATTGTGCAGATCCAGATGATTTAGGGAACTCACCTTTTGTGCCTCAGACTTGGCTGTCTTGTTCCCAGTATCTAGAGCAAGGCAGAATAGAAACTCCCTTAAAGCTTCTTCTGTTTTCCCCAGATTAGCTAATGCTTGTCCTTTCCTTAGGTGACCCTGCAAGGAAACACATCCACAGTTGCAGCTTTTGTCAAGAGAATATGCAATAAAACCACAGGGAAAGTACAAAAGATCTTTCTGAAGAAGGAAAAGTTAGACAGGAAAAATCACTACAACTATGTCTTACACCTAGACACCACCAGTGCCTGGGAATCTAAACACAACAGTCCTGAAAATTATAAGCATAAACAGGATATTCTTCCACTCATGCAAGTATGATTCTCACAGCACCTGAGCCCAAGTGATATTGGAAGCATCTAATTCCCTCCTACATCCACCTTCTAAAATAGTCATTTTGTCCTTAGCATCCAAGTTTTACAGAGTTCACAAAAGTGGTATTTATCCAAGTCAAAGATAACAGCATGGCTCATTCTACAGGACTAGCACTCTCTTTCTTCACCCCAGGAAGCTCAAGAATATAAAGGTTAAATGTCTGCAAATTGCAGGAGTCCAAAAGTTACAGGACTTAAAGCCTCCCTCAGATTCCACTGCCTGACCATTCTAACCATTTCAGGGCACTATCAAGGTTTTAAAAAAGTAACTGGAGTCAGAACTTACTTTCAACCAGTAGGGCTGGAGCCTGCACGCCGTTTCTGCATCGTGCAACGCATCTTCACAAGCTTTCAAAGTGGAGTTAATCTGGGACCGGTTGCTATACAATAAGTGGTCATTTGGAGCTGTAGGAAATAGAAAAAGTGGTTGATTAGGCAAAAAGAAATTAGTTACATAAGCTTTATTCCCCAATTTTAAATTTTTTTTAAACACATGTTGGTGCTTCCAAGTTGCGCAAAACCAGAAAACATCCAGTTTTTAAATAACTATGCACTAAATTAAATCTGGAAACCTCTTTGGGCAACTCCAGACAAAATGCCAGCCATGTCTTATATAACTGCAGAGAACATTGCATAAATAAATGCTGAGACACTCACACAATAAATTACCAACACTGACTGAGGATCAGATGGTTGGTAGAGACACACAGGAGGAATTTAAGACAGCAGGAGGAATGCTGTGATACTGTAGGGAAGAGTTTCAAAATTGGTAGCATCAAAGTTTTTAAGTGATAAATTAGGGTCTTTTCATGCCAGAGCTCAAAACACGGGAAGAGAAGGGACAGCACGAAGAATCAGGTAGCGTTACAATGATCACCGAGTTACACCCACTGCAGCACCGAGACACAGCGCGTGCTGGGAGAAGGCTGGGCACTTTTCTCGGAAACATTTTCATTCAAGCGAAACGCTTCCCTATAATGCCTTTAACGTCTACTTTGTACTTGCACCGTGAGTCACTTTTCCTCAAACTGCATGAAAAGGACCGCATCAAAAGTTCTTCCTGCGCAGCCCCGCGGGCGCTCCCCGGCGCTGGGGAGGGAGCGCGGGGCCGGGCCGGGGGTGCGGGACACGCCCGCAGCCCGGCACACATCCCCGGCGCTGGGCTGCGAGCGGCTGCTCCGCGCCCGGGGCTGCTCGGCGGGGATCAACGGCGCCGGCCGGGGGGAGCCCAGCCGGACCGCAGGCTCGGGCTTACGCAACCGCTGCTCTCCTGACCCAGTTTCACCGCGGGCCGAAGAGCCGAGACCCCTTCCTGGGGCACCCCTCCAGGCCCCTCCGGACACCCGCCCCAGGACCCGGCCCGGGGAGCCGGCGGCGAGCGGGAGCGCGTCCCCGGCACGCTCCCGGACACCGGGGTATCCCCGGCCCAGCCCCGGGCTCGGCGGAACGAGAGCCACCGGAGAGCCAGCGAGCCCCGGCCGGTGGAAAGTTATCTCTCCCAGCGCGGAGCCGGGGACCATCAGCGGGGAGAGGGAGCCCTTACCTAGGCTGACCGCTTCGTTGTACTTCTGCAGGGCGGCTTGGAGCTTCTTCTCCTTGTAGAGGAGGTTCCCTTCGTGCCGGAGCTGCGAAGCCTTCACTTGGCAGGGGAACCACTTGGTCAGCAGGTTGCTGAGGATGACATTGACCCGCAGGAGCTGCCCGGCCGCCGCGCCGCCCGCCTCCTTGCACAGCACGCAGCGGGGCTCGGGCGCCCGGTCCCTCTCCAGGCACTTTTTGCAGAACGTGTGTCCGCAAGGCAAGGAAACGGGCTCGAAGAGGAAGCCCTGGCATTTGCGGCACCTGAAGACGTCCCACTCGCGGGGTGCCGCGGGCTGCCCGGCGGCGGGCAGTCCCTCTTTGATCCGGACGCTCTGCGCCAGGCACTCCACCAGCTTCTCCAGCTGCTCGGCTTGCAGCTGCTGGTGGCGGGACGCCAGCTGGTACAGCGGCAGCGCCTCGTGCAGCCGTCCGCCGAAGGCCAGCGCGTCCGCCCGCCCGAGCAGCACCTGCCACTCGGGCCCCAGGCCGCCACCGGGCGCCTCCAAGTTCTGCGCCTGCAGAGCCCCGGCCGCCAGCTGCAGCACCAGCTGGGGCTCGGGGCGCGGCGGAAGGTGCGAGCCCATGGCGGCGGCTCTAGCGCGGCGGGACGCCGTGAGGCGCGGGCGCGGCGCGGCCCCGCCGGCCCATGGTGCTGCTGCCGCCCCGCGCCGGGAGCGGCCCGCGCCGCCGCCGCCGCTTATATAGAGGCGGGCACGTGATGGCGGCGGCGGCGCTCATTGGGCAGCGCCCGCAGGTTGTTACAAAACCAGGCGGTTTTGTAACGCGCCGGGCCCGGCCCGCTCCGTGAGGGGCCGCCCGGCCCGGCCCCGGGGCTCGCCGTGAGGGGCCGCTCGCTCCGGTCCCGGGGCTCGCTGCCCGTTCCGTGAGGGGCCGTCCCCCTCCCCGGCGCTCGCTGGTTCCCCGGAGGGCTCCTCCGCCCCTCGGACACCCCGTCCCGCCGGCGCTTCCCCTGACGCGGGGGCTGAGCCGTGCGGAGAGCTGGGGCTGTGGCTGTGGAGCGCTGCCCGCCGGCACACCGGAGTTCGGTGTGAGCCGCTGGTCTGCCTCGGAGAGACGCGGAATTGCTCCAGGGCTCGGTGTTTTGGTGCCTCGTGTAATGCGAAAGGAACCTCGGCTCCAAGTGGTTTTGAAAGGCGTGCCCGCCCCGGTCCCGGGGCTCGCCGTGAGGGGCCGCCCGCTCCGGTCCCGGGGTTCGCCGTGAGGGGCCGCCCCGCTCCGGCCCCGGTGATCGCTGCCCGCACCGTGAGGGGCTGCCCCGCTCCGGCCCTGGGGCTTGGCGCTCCCCCGGAGGGCTCCTCCGCCCCTCGGACACCCCGTCCCGCCGGCGCTTCCCCCGGCGCGGGGGCTGAGCCGTGCGGAGAGCTCGGGCTGGGGCTGTGGAGCGCTGCCCGCCGGCACACCGGAGTTCGGTGTGAGCCGCTGGTCTGCCTCGGAGAGACGCGGAATTGCTCCAGGGCTCGGTGTTTTGGTGCCTCGTGTAATGCGAAAGGAACCTCGGCTCCAAGTGGTTTTGAAAGGCGAGAATGCCATTTCCTGCTAGAACTGGAATCGCGAAGCTTTGTAGCTGCACAGTTAATCATTCTCTTTACGGGAATCTACGGAGTAGTGAAGCTATTTTCATGTCAGGTACTCCTGGTTTTATAGAGCAACTAAGGAAAACATTGTTGTGCTTATTTAGTTTTGCAGTGTGGCATGTTGCACGGCTCTACCTGTCCGTGCCAGATTCCGGATGAAAAGCACATGCCTTTTGATGTATCTTTGTTTTATTTAACAGCAGCCCTGTTGACCCTTTCAATCTGCGTGTTCCCACCAATTCTTGTTAGATGAGACAGTTGCACTAGTTGTGTAACTGTCTGTGCTAAATGTAGTCTAGGGAGAAAATCACCTGTGCTACTACAGAAAAGAAGCTGTTCTAAAAGAAGTTGTGTAATGCTTTTTGTTTGCAGCTTTATGCATATTTACAGTTACCAGAAATGTCCATGTTATGTATACATACACTTACGCTCTAAAAATATAGAGCACTTTTCACACTGTCTTAAAATCCACTGCAGAATTTGAAATTTCTGATGATATCCTATTACTGATATAATCAGCCTCCTCACGAAGCTCCAGAGAGGGGATGAAGGAATTAATTTCCATTTTCTTACTTGCAGAAGTGTCTGGATTCCCCAGTTTAGACTGTGTGAGCTAAGCAGGTATTAAGGGACAAGCCCTGCCTGTGGAGCTTGAATGGACAGGAGAAAAGATGAAAGAAAGGAGAGGCAACCTGAGTTTTGCAAGACCTTGTTTAGGGAAGATGCTTGAGAAAATTCAGATTACCTTAGATTTAAAGAGGAAAAAATAGTTTAAAGCTGCTTAAAATTTGGATTTTAACTTTTAACGATACACACTAATTCTGTGATGTTTGTGTCCAGATATGTACCTGGGAACAGAAGCCAGCCATCAGACCCTTTAATTGTCCTTTGATTCCTGTGATGTGAAGATATTTTGCATCTGCCAAAAATTTGGTCTTTGTCTCTAGGGTTCTTGAATCTTAAAAAAAAAAAAAAGGAAAAGTTTAACATCTAACTGCTGTTCTCAAGCAAGTCCTTTAATTAGAAAAAGAATTGAATAAGCACTGGTTTCAGTACTTTTTTCTGCCATCATTTATATTAGATAATTATCTAAAGTATGGCACAGGCTGCCAGCAAGTAAAGCAAAGAAAGGTGGGACAGTTGAAGCACTTAAAACTTCACTTAAACAGTGCTTCAGAAGAGTTAGAAAGAATAAGCGTTTGTGCTCAGGAGTGTGGGGTTTTCTCTCCAGGCTCCAGCTTCTAACATAGACTTCTTGTTTTCCAAACTTCCATGCAAGAAAATCTCATGCTATTAAAGAACAAAACCCTTAAGAAAAAGAAGAAAAATGCTTTCTTGTAGCCTTGAGGTCAGCAGTTGTCTCTATTGCAAAACTATAGTCTCAGCAACCCCTCAGTGTGTTATTTTATAACCATTGTCCTGAAAACCACTATGAGTCAAAGCCTATTCAAGCGAGGGAAAGTGACATAACCACTGGTTACCAGTAGCAATGCAGTGACAATCTCTACCAGAGATACGCCACCAGTATTTACATAGTTACATAGCAGACACTTAAAGAGAGAACTCGTGGTATAAAGGGAGGGGTTCTAGCAGAACATGGATTCAAGATAGGGAAGGGGAATGGATTTATCACTGGAAATGCAATCAGCATTTGTGCTCTGCAAGGGACTTGCACAGTTCCTATTCTCAGTGTATGAAAGCATCTGCAGAGCTGGCTGGCAGTCTGGGCACTCTGGACTGAAAGGAGTCTCAAAAAGGCACTGGGAAATGCACTTGTGGGAATTCTCTTCTACCAGCAGGACGTAGCTGAAACATTTCAAGGGAAAAGAGCAGCTGTGCTTATGAACTACTCCCCGTGGTGGGAGCTGTGTGCTTAGGAGGGTTCAGAACACTGAGCTTTATCCCAAGCCTGCAAATAGTTAAGACCTTATGACAGATGGCCCATGGGCAACAGCTCTGTGACCCTCTTTTTCAGGGGAGAAACCAGCTGGCTCTGCCTCCCCTAGTTCCTGGTGTGTGTGGTGTTTGGTAAATGTTAGTACTTGGTGGGGTGTGACAGGTACAGAGTGAGCTGTACAGTCACTAACAGCTAAATACTTTAAAGCCAAGATACTAATTTACTGTTCACTATAAGTCAAACAACTACTAAATATTTGATTCTGATATCAGGCCTGGCTCTGCAGAGACTCTTTTAGCAAAAACAGCTGTGTGAATTGATCATACATAATCTAGATATGCTGGGGTGTTTTTATATAACACATCCTGAAAGCATAGAGTTTTCATACATTCATACATATATTCATGGACTTGGAGCAGCAGTAGGTCATGAGGTGTACTTGATTAGAAGGCAAAAGAAAAAAAGAAAGAGGCAGAAAAGCACCCTCCTGCCTACCTGCATTGTTCATGAGCTCAAGAACGGATTTATCCTTTACTTAAACAGAAAAAGTTAAAGTGAGGAGGTGACTCACTCTGCAAAAGCACATCTCCCTTGTATGATTTTTCTGCAAAGGGAGGCTTAATTTCTTCCTTTTAATGACAATGAACACAATACTGATCTTCTTCCAGCAGTTAATGGCTGGCATAACAGGCAGCATGAGAGCATGACTACATTCTTCAGCCTTCTTCTGAATCAAAAAAGTGCATCAGGCTTTGAGTCCACAAAAGCCACCAATAAACCTGCACTGCTCCCCTCTCAAACACAACTAACCCAAGTGTGAAATTTCAAACCACCTGACAGAGCTCCTTCTCTAGTGGAAGAAGGGATGTGAAAAGTCACATCACAAATACTGCCACAGATGGCTTTTTATTTCCACGTGCTCTGCACGTGCTGTAATAGTCCATAGCAAGAACAGATTCTGACTGACGGCCCATGCAGTTGAGGCAATTTCAGAGAAGCACCAAGCAGGAAGCCTGACCATTATGTCAGGAAGCTGCACTAACATGTGCATAGGGAACAAGAGGAGAAGATATGTATGTTCTTCTGTGTTATTTTGCCACTGAACCTCTGAGTGACTTTTGGCAACTATCTTTACCTCTTCATTCTGCTTATGGTGACTCCTCCTTCATGGGCTGAACATCCTTGCTATCATACACACATGTTACGCTGAGAAACTATTAAGCCCAAGTTTTACTTTAAATCTGTTTAAAATTAATTAATATTGAAAGAAAAGACATAATGTTCTGTCCTCTATAAAGGAAATTAAAGAAAAGTGTAATAGAGAAGTTTATGTTCATATGCCATGGTTAGAAAATCACTACAATTAAGACACAAATACATGATCCAGTTTAAATAAATGCAAGGCACCAATAAAGAGAGCAATGCTATCACAGGGTGCTGCTTCTCAAGGAAAAATACCATCAGAGCCTGCAAAAGGTTCTTGTTACCTACTGGTCCATGAAGTGTGGAATAAGAAAAAAACCCAGAGCCCTTCCCACACAAACCCCTGCCTGCTTAATTGATGACTGACTGGTGATCAGCTTGACAAGACCTCAGGCCCGACAAAGCAAGTATCCCACTCAGGCTGTGTCTCTCACTGTGTGACACTGGAAGGGGGATTCACAACGTGCCCTTGGAGCGTAACCAAACCTGGAGTGACTGGGATAAAATAATTTCTGTTCAGACATACCCAGATTCTTAGAAGGTTACTTTTGTTCTGCAAGGCTACAGCCAGAAATTCAGTGAAATTCAAATTCCAGGGTATTTTAATTGTGAAGAAAGAAGATATTTCAGCATTGAACAAATATTTAACAAGTAATCCATTATGAATTCTGAAAACCCCAACAATATTTTGAAGACTCTCGTTTTAGCAAAACTGAGGAACTATCTGCTATGCACTCCCACTAGCCATTTTGGTGACAACTTCTTTACTAATCTCTCAGGAGGAAAGGCCAAATTTTTTTAATTCTTAAGTACAGAGCAGTGAACACCCCAAGTTTTCAAGCACCCATCAGCATACATGGTAACCTCCAATTACAGTAAACTGCTGCTTAATGTGTGGCAAGACAAATTCAAGACTAAGTGGTCCAGAGAACATGACAAATGCAGTCAAGAAGCCTTTCCAGTTCTGGAGAACACGAGCAATTGTTGTTACAGAACCACCAAATGAATATATTCTGTCTAGAAGGTATTCATGGATTCCTCTGCTCTGACCAGTAAGAAATGACATTGCAATTGCCTTGAGCAACAGGTCATTTCACCTCCATGCAGCAGAATTCCCGTTGTCAGAAACAACTTCACTTAGCTCAGCTGAGATCCATTTCAGTTTGAAACAATGTGAGCCTAAACAGCTGGAAGGGAAGTGTTGTAACAAGGAACACAAGGATGTGTGCTTTGTTTCACAGCCTGTGGTAAGCCAGAAGACAAACCAGCTTCACAGAGGAATTAATGCAGTCTACAGTTCACCTGGAAGGTTAAAGACTGAGATGCAGTATGGATCAAAGCTGAAGTTATTGATGAGTCCACTACAAAGCAAATGGAACAGGAAGCTTCTGAACAATTTAAAATCCTGCTGATGGTTTGTTTGAAACTACAGGACACATTCTTGCCCAGGTTTTAAAAGCTTTCTGGACCACAGCTATTCATCTATCTTTAGATTGGTATGGACTGCTGTCAAAGAAGTCTCCTCTTTAGAAGTGTGACAAATAAGCCTTACTATGCTTGTTGTGATTTTTTAAATCCAAAAGGCAAGTCATCCTTTCCTACACAAACATCTGTGGGAGTGTAAAAGGCCTCCTTAACCCACAATTTAATTTCAGTAATTTTCTGCAGGGAGTGAGGAAGATAAAGGCAAGTTCTACAACCATAAAACATGAAAGAGACAAATATGGGTGGTATTACTGTGATAGAAACCCTGTAATTAGCTGGAATAAGCCAATGCTCAACAGCAGCAGTGGAACTTTCTAAAGTACATCTGACTTCTGACAAAGTGAGTTCCAGAGCCACAGCCTGCTGTCTTTGGGCAATTGCTCACAGCCTCCATGTCTTTGCTGCTGGGGAAAATTCATTCAGGCAAGGAGCAAGGAATTAATCAGTTTTTTGGCAAAGCTCTTAGGAACATACATGTGGTTAAATGAGACTTGAAACACGTTTCACATTAAGGGAGTCCTTCCAAGGTAAACTCACAGGCCAAAGGAGTAACTCAGAACAGACTATTCCAGTACAAAGGGAGGGACCTACGATGACCATCCAGGCCAACTGCCTGAGCAGCCCAGGAAACTCCAGCCTGAGCTTAAATGCTTTCGCAGCCTGGGGGCTTGGAAATCCTCCTGCCTGTGACTTCCATCCCAGCTGTAGGCAGCCCTTCATCCTGGGGTCTGGCCTGCATGACTGATGAGCTGGAGTGGGCTACAGGATCTCTGCCTCTTGCTGCTCACCACCACTGCAGGTCAGAGGTTTCTGCCTGATGTCAGCTGATTTCATGGAATCAAACACACAGGCAACACAGGAAACAAGAGGCAGGCATCTCCAGTTACAAAACTATGAGATAACAGCTATTTAGCCCATTCTGATCAACCAGCTAAAGAAACAGATTTCACCTTTCCACTGCTGTAATTATATGGAATTAGCCCTGGAAGCCCAGATGATACTTCTGTCTTGATCCACAGTCTTCCAATTTTCTTCCAAATTAGCCTTTAACTATCCATAGCTAAACCATAGTCACTTAGTAAGAAACGAGGCAACAATTTTATGCAAAACCCAAGATCACATTTGTCATACTAGAAGGCAGGAGTGGGTTTGTTATTTTATTTTTATTTGAAATAATGCAGAGCTTTCTTATGATACATACACATTGATAGGGCTTCCGGTAGCACACTTTCAAAAAATTAGTTATGAATCATAATCAGAAATAAATGACTCTTACATCTATTAAGACAGTTATTTAAAAAAATGTTTTGATGAATCACGCAAAAATGTTCACAAAGAGCATTATATTTTTTCTTAGATAAATGTTTTGTTCTTTCTAAATCTTACAAAAAGAGCCTGTGCTTTTAAACACTTGAATTGAGAAAAAATATTTACAGCAGACATCATAAATACCACATTGAAGTTCATAGAGGCAAAGTGGTGATGGTCCCCTGTTTTGCATTCACAAAACATGCTGAGGGTTTCAGATTTCTTCCATAAACTCCCAATTTAAAAGTGTTCAGTCTTGGATCTTCAGTATACTCCTCTTCTCCAAATCATTCATTTCCTTCAGTATAAGGGCAACATTGTATCTCAGTTCTTGAAACTTTGCAACTGGCACCTGAAACAGAATGCTCAGGTTAGGAAACACAAGACATCTCAGGAACTTGACTAGGGCATGCCTTGGACATGGAACATTCTGCAGTATAAGGCCAATCTCTTTTAAAAGACTTAATTTTTGCAGACTTAAGACAAAGGATTTAAGGTTAATAAAATTCAGGTAATTCAACTAAATCCACATGGAAAAGGAGAGAGGGAAAAAAACAGAAATGACACCTAGATTGTACATTTCCTGTACTGCATCATGAGAGAAAGGAAATACTCAAGGATGTAAACTGAGAGCTGCTTGGGTGATATGAAAGTCATGGACTGGAAGGAAAGACAGCTGGAAGGTTGTGGAGACTACAGAATTGTCAAGCAACAAATTCAAGATATTCTGCTCATCCAAACTTGCAAGAGAAAGGAATTGAGACTTGAGGGAAGACACTTGGCAGCAACTTCAAGAGCAAATTCCACTATGCATGGAAGGCAAAAGATTTAGGGTTAAACACACAAAGCATTTTCAACAGTGTAGGAGACTCATGGGCTCTCCTTTACCATTTCAAGCCCGAGAAGCCCAGTGGATGGAAATCTTATCTGTGAAGACAGAGACCCCCAGCTGAGTGCAGGCACAGAGCGGTGACACAGACTGGTGACACAGACTGGTGACACAGACTGGTGACACAGACTGGTGACACAGGTGCAGTGCACAGACACATGCTCACACGAGTGCCCAGTGCAGTCTGGCTGGTCCCACACAGTCTGCACAGCACTGCCTAATTTACTCTGACTGCACTGAAGACAGCAGTTCTTTTGGCAGAGACCCTTGTCATCCTTCTGCCCACTCTAGCACAGATACCAATTATATGAGAGGAATCCAACACCTGATTTGCATTTTCCACATACATCAGAAATGCATAAAAAGGCACCACGTCCTTTTCACTTTTGACATATATACAACAAGACTCAAAATGCTGCAATTCCCACTGCTTTAAAAAAACAACTTCAGTCAGAAGCCACACTGTGATTAAAATACCAAATGGAGACCAAAGAGTGCACTTTCTCCCTGTGCTATACACATTTTAAAACTGTTCACAACAGAATTATTTTCTGGACTTACCATCTTACATAAACCCTGCTAGTGAGCAGGACATTCTGAATGTGTTCAAATAAAGGAAAACTGAACATCTGAGGACTATGTTTACTTGCATATGGTACCTTGAACCAACACACAAGTTTATTCCAAAGAGCTGCTAACTGTGGGAAGACCACTCATCAGATCTAGAAATCCTGCCTGAAGTCACGCCCCTGGCATTCAGATCCAAGCAGCAACAGCAAAGAGCTGATTCTAAGAGAAGCACAGTTTGTTATCAGATATCTGCACTCCTGCATGTGCTGGACAAACACATGTCCCCTGCAGAATAACAAAGGGTCTTCACAGACTCACAATGATAAAAAGATCCACAAAAAGCCAAAACACAAGCCCTAAAATCAAACCAAAACAGTCAGAAACAATGGCACTAAGACCAACACTGGACATGATATACCAGAAAATAAAGTGGGAATAGAGTATAAACTAGATTTTATTCTCACAAGTGAAATTTACCCTTTTGTAAAGGGTTAACCTGAAGTCCATGGCATCATTTAAGTTCCATGGAAGTCCTCAAATACAGTGTATGGGATGCTCTGGGCTGGACTGTCCAGAGGGGTAAATTTGATCTCCTGTGAAGTGACACCCTCAACAGTTTGCAATGCAGCAAATTTATGCCCTTAGAATTTATGCCCTTCTCAACAGATGCTTTCTTGCAAAACAATTTAATAGTAAAATCAGTCCACCTCTTTCAACCCACAGGGCTTTGGTGTTTCTTCCAGACTACTACTAATGAGAGAACTGAAGCCAAAATCTGTACAGAGTTCAAAAGTAACAATGCCTGCTGTGCACTGAATTCCTGTATGCACCACCAGGCTATTTATAGAACAAATAGCATTCCTTTCCAAAGGTTAAAATTATGGAAGAGTTTATGCCATCTTCTGGCAAGCCTTTAGGTACAGTGTCAGAAATACTGCCACTGACTAATCCTGTAATAAGCAAAGAGGTTTTTTTTTTACTTTCTAGCAGCCAGAACAGTTCTGAAGAAAAAGAATAAAACTACCTCTGCCATAGAAAAGAATGTTACCATTCTCTGCCAAATGCAGAAGGTTTAGAAGTGTATCATACATTATATAAACTACCCCAGTAATTTTCCTGCCCTCAAGAGCCACCATCAGGTCTGAAGGTTACAGTTCATAACAACCCCATAACTTTTAATCAAACCAGATATTATGTAACAGTGCTTTCCAGCAATTAATATTCTTCTAGTAAATTGCAGTTCAGAAGAACATGTGTAGGAACAAGGTAGGAAATTATTTTGATTGGTATTTCATTCAATATTTTTTGTGGCTACACTGAACATGAAGGATTCCAAAGCAAACCAACCAATGGTAACACACCATTTACAAAAGCTTTAGTATTTTAAGTAATAATTCAACTTTCTAAATAAAACTAGAAGTGGTTTCCTTATTTATTATGGCAATCAGACTTACTTCAAAGCGATGAGCTGTCCCATCTGAAAGCTTCATCATCATCAGAATGGATGGCTGGAGTGCACGGGCCAGTGAACTGAAATTATTTACATCATTAGGATTACAGCAGTACAGATCAGCAGCGTGATGAGTACAGCATTGCACATTAACAATTTTAGATGTTCATGTAGGCTTTACACAGAACATGAGTAATTTCAGTCAGAGTCTGGCTGGAAACTCATGAACACAACAGTTCTGTCCAATTTACCTCAGTATTGAGACTTAACATTTTGCTAATAGTTTAGTAACAGCAAGTTTAGGAGCATTTTCATTTTTACATAACTGGTTTAGTGGAACTGTGACAGGGATAAGAGCTGACCAAGTACTGCTAACAATAATGCACAGTTTTCTTATGCAGTTCACCATGCTGCATTAATCATTTCCATTCCCTCATACGTTCAGCTGCCACCTCATTTAGGGAATCAACCTCTTCCAGGCTTCATCCTAAATTTGTGTGGTATTTTATTTGATGACCCAAAGAAGGGAAATGAGTCATTCTTGTGCAGCTTCCATCAAATGACATTGCCAAAGCCTGCTCAGGTACAGACAGGCACTACAGCCCAAAGCTGCCATACCTCCCTGCAGAGGCTGTTGCTGGATAATAAACAAAAAATCCCAGGGGGAAGATTAACTGAAAACAAAATTAAAAGGAAGGAAAACAAAAACCGGTAACGTATTGCTCCTGTGTTGTTTGGAAAACAAATCATAGGATTTGCTTTCAGCTTGCACCACTGTGCCTGAGGATGTTTACCTGGACATTTTGCTCTCTTATCAGTATAGATTCTTCTTCTACAGAGTGATACCTGTGTGGTGCTTACAGCACTGCTCATCAGAAAGTCACCTGAACCAGCAACTTGTGGCCAATTTTCTCTTGGGAGCCTTTTTTCCTGATTTCAGGAAGACAATCCCTGATCAGCCATGGGCCTCCCTGGCAGCAAAGAGACAGCACTCCCTCCCAGATGCAGGCATTCAGACATGCAACATGAAGTTACTCATGCTAACAAATTACACTGCTAACAAAGACTGGATCATCTAATTTCTTTCAGCTTGGTCTGTCCTGGTTAGGACTAGACAGAGACCAAACAGCACAGACAAAAGGTTTCTGTTTCCTTCTGGATTCTAGCTAAAGATTCATTCCCCACATGCCCCTGTTGTGGCAGATGGTAAGAAGCTGTTCACTGCAGGCACAGGCAGGATGATCTCAAGGGCTTTTACTCCTGCTGCGAAAGAAACTAGGAGGTAGTTCAACGACCAGTTACATAACCATGGCAGTGTAAAGGTGCTGTCCTGAAACTTTTCTTTGTAGAAGCAGAGTACAAGAGATGGAAATTCATTCAACATGTGCAAAAAATGATGCAAAAAATGACGATCTACTTGAGAAGTTGAATAGATGAATACCCTCCTCTGTTTCAGTAGAACTAAGAGCTTGCCCAGCTGCTTGAGGCTACATCTGACTAATTTATGCCATCATCATCAAGACGTGTGGGTTTGTATCAGCTCTGTTAAGTTTTAAAATAAGAGACTCAAACTTTGAGTGAAATGTTACCAGCAGTAAAGTCTGTATACACTGACTTCTACACTCTTCAGAAAATTCTACCTGTATCTTACTGTTTAAGGCTACCTGCCAATCCCTAATAGCAAGGCACATTTTGACCCCATTAAAATGTTTAAGCAGCACAAGAAATCAGTTTAATCTTAGGAAATTGCAGGGATGTGCATGATTCTCTTTCATACCTTGTGGATATAGCTACATCCACTCTCCACTTGAAGTCCTGGATGCTTGGCAGCCGACTTCTTTGTATCAGAGCTGTGCCTTCCGAAGTGGGACGCCTGAAGAGAGAATCAGAAACAAGAGACTGCAAGGGAAATTCATAAAAGAAGAAACAATCTAAAGAGAAAATAGGATTCCTCAGTACAAACCTGTCTGGAATTTGTTTCTCTCCTACATCTGCCCTCACTTAAAAAGGTCTGAATAAGGAGAATTTTGTGGATTTAAGACAGTTGTGCTCAGATTATCTCCTTTTTCTATGCTTAACTATGGTCCATGTTGAAAAAAGAGACCAAGTGACTGTATAATTCTAGTAAACTGATGTCACTATGAAGTTTAGTAAGGGTCATTGTGGTGACTGGCATAGCTATTATTTCAATGATATGCAACTGTGAGGCATAGAAAGGGACCTGCAAACATGTCCTTATCTTCATGCAAATCCAACAGGAACAAGCAAGCAGAGACAAGACAGATGACTTAGGCAAAACAGTTGCATAAGGTCACTGCTTTTCTTCAGCAAAAGCCATCCACTATTGACTAGCAGCAATGTTTTAAAATGTAATGTCAGTGTATTGAGTGTATTTTGAAGCATACTTAAAAAAACCCACAGTGGTTCTTGTTGGTGCAATGAAACTTACAAACTTTAAGTTCCTTATATAATGTTTACTGCCAACCCCAGCTCAGCCTTCAATATTTTTGCCTAGGCTAATGTGTAAGAAGCCAAGCATTTCATTTGTTACTCATACTGCAGGAAGAATCAGGCTGATCAAGTCCTAGTTTATTTCTGTGTGGAAATACAGTTAACAGCAATTAAACTTCAGGTGGTTGACAATTTTCAAAATTTTAACAACATGCTAAGTTCTGGATAACTAAATGGCAAATCTGATACAAATACATAATAACCATTCACTCTTAGATATACATGCAGAAATAATTTCAGAATGAGGTCACTGTGCTGAGGTCTATTCAGCAGGTGGACTTCTGGACTTTGTGTTACTCTTTTTTTTTTTCTCTAAGCATCCTGTGTCCCTGGAATTTATTTATGGTACATTTCAAGGCTACTTCCACTAAGGGCAGGATAAGAAACATTACTTCCTTTATCCATGGTGCTAGACATAATCTAATTACAGACTTTGCAGCAGAAAGGAATCCTCTCTGAACAAATCAAGCACTGTAGGAATGGCAGGCTCACATCACTACTGAGACTCTTGTGTGCAAGTTAGCTGGGCCTTTAGAAACTGCCCAGAAAGATTAATGATCTGATAAGGTACACAGGACACACAGGCTGAGATCCTCCAAGTGTCCTGCATTTTGCAAAGGTGATATAAGAAAGAATTTATCTCTTTGGTGAGGGGAGGTTGAGTGGTGTCAGAAGTGAGAGACATTCCTAATGGCACAGTAAAGAAATGAGCAAAAAAAGTAGATCAGCTGGTTGTTACTCATTGTCAGCTCCTGGATAGGAAGTAGGTCACCACAGCTGGGTGCAGCCATGAGGAGCTGGAGTCTAGAACAGTCATTAGCAGGATTAAACAGTAAGAACAGGCCTTTCCCTCAGTGGAGAGCTGCTGCCAGAGTATTGCTTAAGTTGGAGACTCCCTAAAAATAGCCACAGTGCTACAGTTTCCTTAAGACATGCTAACTCCCATTGATGGAAGTCAGTCCATTCGTGCAGCACCAGCACCCTGGGGGAAGAAAGGAGTTTTAAAAACAGATAGATATTCTACTTAGCTGTGGTGGGAAAGATCAGAAATGGTGACCTCCCAAACAGAGGGGAAGCTTCTGAATACTGTTGAGAGATGGCATTTCTGTGGTCCAACACAAAGCTTTATTTCTGGTCAGGACTGCACTTCTGTACCATTCTCCTAGGAAGAGTCACAGCTTCTACAGCTCAGTTTAAGCTTCTGTCAGGACTATCCCAGATTGGACAAGACCACAATGGGAACTGCAAGAATCCTGAAAGATGACAGAATGTGCATAGTGGCCAACATGCATACAGAAATTACACAGGCTGCTAATCAAGCCATTAAATTCTGAGAGGAATAGCAAAACGGAGCAGCAACGACTCAATGAATCTTACATCCAAAACCTATAGCCTATAATTACATTTTGTAAACACTCTGTGCCAGCAGCTGCAATATACTGTCAGCACATTGTGCAGAAGGCAGAAGTCAGAGCAAGTAGAAGACCTGGATCAGGTAGAGACCATTTTATAGTCCACACAAGTTATGGTGGAAAGGATGACACACCTGGTGACAAGAACACCACCTGCTAAAGATGCAAGTCAAAAATGAAAGATTAGAGAATTTGGAGCAGCAACTGATCTGCCAGTATCAAAACTAAAGACAAGTTCTGGATGGGTCCCTGTGCACATAACAAGATATGCCCAGCAGGCCACTGAGCTGGAAGGCTGAACAAGCTTGCACGTGTGAAATGCTGACAAACAGCACACAGAATGCACCCTCCTGGTAGAAACTAAAGCTACACCATTAGGAAAAAAACCTAGTGCATTTATTATAAACATTCAGAGAGGGTGAAGTTAGTGTTATCCTTTCCTTTAAAAGACAGTTTTAATTTAATGTAGTTATTTGATGTGGCAAGTTTTTCTTTCAGTCTACACAGCTTGATGGAACTGTAGGGACACAAATACAAATACCAAATACTTCAGAGCTGTTGTTTAATGAAAAGATCTCCAAAAATAAGATAAGATGCCAGGAAAAGTATTAAAAATGGATTTTTCTGGGTTATCTACCTCATCCTGAATTACTGAATTTTTGATCACATGCTAATGCATCTCTTACCATCACAAACATATATATTTACAACTCAATAAGCATATGTATGATTCAGTGTTACATTTAAGACTGTAGAAGTAGATCTGTCTAGAAATCAAACCTGAGGTATTTTTCTCTGGTCTCAAAACACAGAGCAAGATTACACTGGATAATTACAGCTTTCAAAATGAGAAAAAGCTAAATTTTTCAGCATCGTGATTTCACAGTAGAAAACAGACAATCATGCATGCTTCAAATTATATCTAAATTTATCTTCCTTTCCTACTGCAAGCAGTATTTCCACTTTGCAACCATGAATTTTGCATTCTTAACACCTATAATTCAAACAGAGGAGCAAAGAAAAGACGAGATGACTGAATTTATTTTTACTCCAGGAACCTTTATCTGTAAGCCAAGATCTTAATCAAAGAAATGAAAAATATTTTTAGCTTTGGTAGCAGCACACAGACCCTTGAGGGTAACTGAAAAACCACAACTATGATTATTTGGATTCCATGCAGAGAATCTGGAGCAGCACTGGGTTAGTGATGTCAAGTGCTGAGTGACCTCAAGTTTCAAGAAGGAAAGTTGGCCCACAATGATCATCAGAGTCCAATTCTTCACCCTGCACAAGTTTGCATATTCAAAACAGTCAAGATTTTGAATTTCTAGATGTAGAATAGGCTAAATATGGTCAAGCAGAGAAACTTCTAGAAAAAGGGAATCCCAAGAATGGACAAAAGAGACAGGCTGTTCAAAAAGCTCTCAATTTAGAACTTACTCTAGAGTGACTGAGGAATGTTGCTTAAAAAGCAAATTACAGCAGGCAGAGCACTTGATATCTCATATATGTTGTCATCAAGTCACTCAGTGTGAATTCACAACTGAACTGTACATTAAGACTTGAGAAATGCTATCTGAGAAAGCTGCCATAAACCAGAGCCTGCCTCTTTTGCTATAACTTGCAATGATAATGATGGCAAAAATGAATAATTCTGCACTGCATTTTTCATCTGTAGGTATTGATTGACCTCACAGTCTATAGAATATTATAAAAACTGATGAACACAGAAAACCTGAAAATTGGCAAGAAAGCTACTTGATGCATGTATTGCCATGCATGATGGACATAATACTGTGCTGAATCAAACTAATGGGACAAGTCTTGTTCTCATTAATTTGGAAAATATTGCTGTTCCTTCAATACACCAAGGATTTGTGTCAGCAGAACTCTGTGCAGCCCTGCTGTCTGCACAATGAAGACACTAACCTGTTACCAAAGACTACACTGGAAAAGTCCACAATGAAATCTTCTGGTATTCTGAAAGAGAAGAGCAAGACAAAACAGTCAGGGATTTTTTGTAACCACAGTTATACAGCTTTACCTGAAAAAAAACCCTAAATCAATTACAGAACACAACAGATGTGTCAACATTTTCCATCTTCCACTGCTTAAAATTGCCAGCTCTTATGTAAGCACTTCAGTATTGATTCATTCAGGGCTCTCAAAAGGACAACCTGTGTTTATACATCAAGAACCCTAAAAACTGTGCTACATCTTCCCATCCTACCTTGTATGGAAATGCTGCATTTTAAAAGAACCCAGTATTGGCTTAACTTCTCTCAGTAAAGTCAAGAAAAATTTCACTGATGGCTTTGACAAGTGCAGAAGGCATGCCAGCAATGCATGCTTTCAAAAATCCCAAACTTACATGTTTCATTTCACTTTCCCCTCAAGGAATTGCCCCTCAAAATTCAGAGGCCCTTGTAGCCAGGGCTACTTACAAAAGGAGCATACGTGGGGACTGGTTGGAGAGACTAACACACTCCACCTACCCTACACCTCTCCACTCCTTCACCATTTCTCTGACACTGCTGTTTCCTTACAAACAAGCTTCTGCTGATTTTCAGTTCAATAGATCAGGCTGTGAATTGCAAAGACCACAGAGCAAACACTATCCACTAGCTGCCTTTGCCATAGGGACAGTAACCTCCTACAGAGACGCAGGTTGGACAAGTGGGAGAAGTCACTACTGCTGCTGCCACAGTTAAATCCAGCACTCACCATGAATCAGTGCCCAGAGACATTACTCACCAGTGGCTTGAGACACACAGCAGTGTATCAAAGAAAAATCAAAGCAGACAAGGATGTTATATGTCCTAAGGAGCTTACAGTGTCTAATGACCAGAGAAAAAACAACTCATCAACTCACACAGCGGGATGATGAAACAGCAGCTACTACAGCTCAAATTCAGAAAGGGAGAAATGGGGTTAAACCACATTTTTAACTAGTGCTTGGATAAAAAGAAATTCATTTCAGCAAGCACTAGAACAGTGTTTTTTGGCTACAAGAGTCTGACTTTCAGAAGAGACGAGACTATTTCTGCAAACATTACTTGTACTTTCATGCAAGTGTATCATTTAGCCCATCCTGACACTGACTGGATAGTGGAATAGCTGGAGACAGGGGGCTGTGATATGATTATGATGATACCTACCACAACACTTGCTTGACTCAAGAGCATTACTAAAACAGAAGCATTAACACTATCTTTGAGTTTGCATTATTTTTGCTGTGCAGTCCATAATCTTGCTGAAAATTCTGTTCCTGGCTCAAGCAGCACACATGAGGCCAGTCACACACAACACAGATAAGATAGAACATGGCACAGCTCAGCCTGAACTACAGATAGCAATCACTTGTCACTGGAACATTCTGAGGAAGGGACTCAAAGGGCAAGAAATGTGTGAAGATGTCTCAATCCCATGCTCTTTGCCTGAGTCATAAAGTTATTAACTACTCTGTGAGGGGAGGGAAAAAAAAGCAACCACAATTTAGTGTGAATTTATTCCCACTGGCTCAGCCACTCAGTAGGGAAGTATGCTAAGAAGTAGGGAAATGCAACTCTTTTAAACTAGAAATATTGATACAGTTAATCAGAATTGGGCATGTATTCCAGCCTCTCTCTTCACCAAAACTAGAAGCCCAGATCAGGTACCTCACCAGAAAATTGAGAATTACAGGATATTATATGGGCAGAATTAGCTCAAGCTTGAGATTCACTGAAAAAATCAAAACAGAACACAATAAGTAAAAAAAAAATAGGGTTACATGGCACAGAGTTCAAATCTTTTGAAATAAGACAGAACAAAAAAGAGGGCTATAGCCTCTTTTTCTGCCTTAAAAGGCAAAATACCTGCCCAAACAGTGGATCAATAATGCCAAGACATCTCTGCTCAACCAATGCCATGTTCTTGGTGCACTTGATCACACAATGGCCACTTCAGCAGGCTAAGTGTCTCAATGCAATTAGTAAGTGCTTTGAAAACAAGCAAGTATTTAATCTCCAAACCCAAGCCCATTGGGAAATGTATGAAATTATGTTTCCCAGAGGAACTGAAGGTGCTAAAGGTGCTACCAAATTTCTAACTACCACAGCCTGAGAGTAGAATAAGCTATTTAGTCTTCTAAAAATTTAGCCACAAGGTGAAGCGAGCTACTTACAGGAAGTGAGAAGGTCAGAGATAGAAGTTAGGAAGAGTCCCAATACTGTGAGAATAATGGGAGCATAGCAGCAACTAGCAGCACATAAAACACTCAAGTCAGCAAGCAGCACAAATGCAGTTACCTAACTATTGCTGCTAGATCAGCCACATTAACCAGAACAGTAAGATAAAAAGATGCATCAAGATATAAAAGATATAAAAAGATCATCAAGACTGAAAAGTATCTGAGTAAAATGTACAAATAAACCATTAAATGAGAAAAAAACTCCCAAACACAACTACAAATGTGTAAATCATTGAAGTGTGGTTAAATGACAAGGACAGGGACCTGGGAGTCTGCATTTCCAGACACAGCCAGCCCAGACAGTGACTTCTGACACTCCTACACCAACTTTCTCCACTGCTCAGAAGAGGAATATTCACCCAGCCCCAGAGAATCTGGCATAAAGCTTTAGTATTCTTCATTATTCCATAATCAAACTTGGCACATTCTGCATGCACTCAAAAGACACCAGCTCCCACTGGGCCAAGAGCAATTCATCAGTTTCTTACTGACCTACTTTAACCTGGGTGTGAACTCCACAATGTGGCAGAGGCAGCAGCTTGCATTTGAGCTCTCAAGACAAAAGGCAGGCCAAACTCCAGCACTGGGCCACAGACAAAACTGTATCAACTTGCAAGGCACCTTTCACTATGCCCAAATGCCACCTTCCATTGATTACACCCCATGTAATGTAATTCATCTGCAGTTTTAGTTTGCTTGAAGTTGCTCATAAAGTTAATCATGCTTATGACTTAACTGTTATGAGGAGAAAGCCAATGTACAGGTTGATGGACAAATAAGGATGAAAAAAGACAATTAGAAACATCTATTTCTCCTAGGTAGCAATCAGAATGTTAAAGAAATGTGTAAAAATAGTGTTTTAAAATAATTAAGCCTTGGTGCAGAGGTTTCACTACAGAAGAAAACATCAACTGCGGTTATTTTCTCATTGCTACTGAAAATAGAAATAAGGGAAAACTATAAATATTACTAGCATCTGATCTCTAGCTTTTAGGATATGAGACCTTCAGATACACTCATGGAAGACTGATATAGATTTTGTCAAAGGCTGTAACAAAGGTCATGATTTCTTGGGTAATGGGCACGAGAAATCATAGCTGAACATGGTGGTAGGGTTTCATGAACGTTATATCATTGACCTTTCAAAGAAGGAAAGAAGTAGGGCAGTTCTTAGCTTCTGAAATGCTACCACTGTCTTACCAAACACTTAAAAAAATATTGCAGGGCAAGGTGGGGATGGCAGAGAGAAGGTCACTCATATTTGCATAACCTACATTACAGAATAAATCAGACCATTCTCCCCAGCAGGTGAAATAAAACTGCTCATGCTCAGTGCTAAATCAAGTCTTACACAACACCTGTTTTTTTCCTCTGGTTTTACATGATGTTTGGCAACAGATGTATTAAGAGGTATTTACAGGTAATTTTCGTACCAACTTTTTTGTGTAAAAAAGTTAATTTGGGGAAGCAGTTACTCAAAAGCCATGAAAAAAACAAATATTAAATGAACTGGTGTAAACAGGCATACCTGAGCTCCTTCAGGTCTTCTTTAAAAACCTAAAAAGACAAGGAAAATGAAATTTTACATGATACAGTCTTAAATGATAATTTCTTACTTACTGACACAGTAGTGGTTACTTATCTGGTATCTTTCCCCAAAAATTTTAGACTTGAGTGCCAGTAGTTTTGAAATAACTGGTAGTATTTTGAAAAGAATTTTCAGAAGTGCTCAATCAAGTTGAGATTTAAAGACCTAAATATCTTGGAAGCCTTTATTTTTCAAACCAACAGACTCTGCCACTTCTTTTATGTAGCTATTCAGAAACATTTTTCTTTTACAGTAACTGTGTGCCCTTATTCTCAAATACATTTTGCAGTAACTTGTTTAAACTGTGACAAGAAAAAGGAAATGGCAGAAGATAAGGTCTGAATATTAAATGCATACTTCCACTACATTTCCTGCAATATGGAAGCTTTCCCAGTGTGCCTGGGTAAATATGAAGCTGTATCTTAAACAAGAGATACTGGAAACCCTGAAGTGGCTCACTCACATAAAAATGAGAAAAGAAAATTGTGAGGTAAAGGAACATGAAAAATGAAGAAAATAGCCATGAAGAAGGTATAGGGGTTGGGAACATGGTGGGTATGTGCATATTCACACCAAACATCCACAGCGTAAGTGGAAATTGCACTTTCTTCCAAATTCCACTATATTGTTCTGGCCTTAAGATCTTCCTTCCTCTATGGAAATAATGTGAACAAAGGAAGCAAACAAACATGAGAAATTAAAATCATGGACAAAAATGAGTGGTATGTGTGAACACCCAGTTAGAGTGAGTGTTGATGCCTGTGAAATAACATTTTGCTATGATTTCTTTGGCAGTTTTAATTTATGAGCGAAAACAAGCATGCACAGTGAACAAGATGCTGAAGCATAAATAGATACAGGAATCTTTTCCCTAAAGCTTAAATATTTTTTTCAAAAAGCTCAGTCTAAATCTACCCAACAAGTGAAATAATAAGTTCCAGATTTCTAACAGTTTCTTCCAACAACCTTAACTTGGAGAATCATTTTTATGTGCAGTTTCCCACCCAGGCAAATGAGATCTAGATGGTGACTTGTGTCTGACACAGCTTTTACCTTATCAAGGTTCCAAGTACTCCCAGAACTTACTTCTTGCTTGAAAGTTGATAAGGGGAGTCTCAATGCTTCTCGGAGGAGGGTGTACATGCCAGAAATGAGGAAAGCAAGTTGCTCTTCTGAGAGGTTAGCACTTTCTGCAATCAGCCTGACAGATTCCTTGCAGTCTTTTCCTTCCAAGGCATTAACAGTGACTGTGAACAAGAAAGCAAAGCAAGATCCTTAATTTACTCAACTGTGTAGCTCTTTGATGGTCAAAGGTGCATTGAGAAAACTCTCACCACAGGAAGAAGCCTCACAGACAAAAATGAAATCAATAATTGAGACAGTGTAGCAGAGCCTGCAATAACACTTGTTGGATAACCTTCAGATACTGTTACATGCAGTTTTTGCATCCTGAACTGACCAGGTACACGAAACTGCATCTCATTTTTTACATTACTCTTTGTTTAGCAATAGAGTAACAGCAACAGCATTGAAAAACGAACCTGGTGCAACTGCAAGAGCAACGGAGATAAACAGTGTTGAAATCCATCACATCTTCAAAGATTACAAAACCTTCAGAGGAAAAACTGCAGCCCTGCAAACCGTGAGTCACAGGCCAGCGAGAGCAGACAGCGATGGGAGATTTGTGCCAGCTCTGCATAACTGGAGGGAGGCTGTGCCCACCCACTGCAGGGGGACCTGCACTGGGGTCACTGCCCTGGCTCCAGGCAGCTGGTTCTGAAGGAGTGTCTGCCCCTGCTATGGTAGGAAGCATTTATTGCACACCCGAAAGCAGGGGATAACTCACACCAAAATTAAGCCCATAGTCAGGCTTCCTGGCACTGAAAAGGCTTTTCAGTCTCTATGTCCCTGCACTAGACAGCAAATATAGTTCAACCTGTGTACTTACCTCTGTCCCAAATGCCTATACACAGCTGTATTATTTCAAGTATTACAAGGAACCCCTGAGTACACTGCTCATTTCTGCTACTGAGCAGCAACACTTTTAGAGACAAACCAGCTACCAGATGTTTTGAGTCCTTCAAATCAAAAAGGAAATCCCTGACAAGATGTTAGCTGAGAGAACATGCTAGGGTCACACCATGCTGGGCAGAAGCTACCCTCCAGCAAGCTGTGCTTTTGCTCCACTAATAATTCCATTATTCCAAGATTGTTTTACATACCCTAATTTACTCAAGTGTGTAACTCTCGATTTTGATGGTCAAAGGTGCCTTGAGAAAATTCTCACTACACGGAGAAGCCTCACAGACAAAAATGAAATCAGTCATTGCCAATCTTACAGCCTCAACCTCAACAGGGCACCTGCACCTTGGGGTTGCTGTATTGTCTCCTGCATGTTCTGTAGATGCCCACGGGGTCTCTGACTGCCACACACAACCTGACAGCGACTGGGCTGCTGGCTCTGGGACACAGGGATGAGAGAGGAATGACTTTAACAGCACTCAGCTGACTTTAGGAGCCATCCACAGCTGCAGAACTCTGTTCCTCATTATCACAGATTTCACAGAATTGTAGAATACAATGAATCAAGCTCCCCATTTTATTTAAAGCTCAGCTCTAGCTTCCTGTTGGGAAAAGCAATGGGAAGTGCTCCAGGAAGCTGCAGCCTTGCAGCTGCAGCCCTCCAGCTGTCACATAACCACAGAATGTTCTGAGGTGTAATGATCCAGAAGGATCATGGAGTCCAACTCAGCTGTGCACAGGATACCCCAAGAATCCCACCATGTGCCTGAGAGAATTGTCCCAACACCCCTTGAAGTCTGTCACGCTGGTCCTGTGACCACTTTCCTGGGGAGCCTGTTCCAGCGCCCAACACCTGCTAGGGAAAGAATCTTTTCCTCACAGCTAACCCGAAGTGCCCTGACACAGCACTATGCTGTTCCCTCGTGTCCTGTCACTGGTCACCAGAGAGGGCACCGGTGTCCATCTCTCCGCAGCCTCTGGTGAGGAAGGCGTAGCCAGCTGTGAGGTCTCCCTCCAGTCCCCTCCAGGTCCCCTCCAAGTGACCTCAGTCCGCACGGCTTCCCCGCTACGGCCTTTCCCCACTCTCTTGGATCTCCTTCGGAAGCTCTCTAGCAGCTGTCCTTGCCTTCCCGAGAGGATCCACGGCTTCCTCGGGGATCGCGGCTCCTGCCCACGGGCTCCGCCTGGGAACCCCCCGCGTCCCCGTGCGGGGGCAGCGCGGCCCTTCGGCGCCGGGGCGGCGCCCCGCGGGCCCCGCACGGGCCCTACCTTTGAGGAGCCGCCGGAAGGTCTCCTTGCCCACGTCCTGCACGCCCCTGGCCATGGCCTCCACCTCGGCCGGCACACGCGGGCCCAGGAACCCGCGGCCGCCGCCGCCCTCGCCGAGCCCCTGCGCCGCGCCGGCCGCCCGGCGCCGCCGACGCCGTGTGCCCGCGGCGCTCCCGCCGCCGCCTGAGGCGCTCCCGCCGCCCCCGCGCCCGCCGCCATGACCGAGGAGCCGTACGAGAAGTTCCTGGCCCCCGAGGAGCCGTGCCCGCTGCTCTCGCACCAGCACCCGCCGCGGGGCGGCAGCTTGAGCCTGAGCGAGGAGGGCTGCCTGGACGTCAGCGATTTCGGCTGCCAGCTCTCCTCCTGCCACCGCACCGACCCTCTGCACCGCTTCCACTCCAACAGGTGCGCTCGGCGGCTGGGGGCGGCGGTCGGGTGGTGCTGGGGCCGGGGCGGGGGTCGGGCCGCCCTGGCAGGGCCGCGCATCCTTCCCGGCTCCGGAGGGGCACGGCCGGGCTGCAGCTGCCGCGTGTCCGCCCCGCTGCCTTCCCTCCCTTCGGCCGAGCCTGCCTTCGGCTCATCGCCTTACCGCTGACGGTGTCAGCTGGCTCGGTTTTTTAAGATGTGTTTTTTCATAGAATCACAGAATGGTTTCGGTTGGAAGGGTCCCTAAAGGTCATCTAGTTCCAAATCCCCTGCCCTGGGCAGGGAGACCTTCCACTAGGATCAGGATGCTTCTAGCCTCAGTCTGAGTTTCTTAATTTTCGAGATTTTGCATTTTTGAGGGCTGTAGGCAGCTACAGAGTGGTGTGTTGATAAGACTCAAAGGCAGGCCTTGCATGGTCACCAGGCAGACCTTTAGAGATTCAGAGTGAGTTAGGTGGCTTGGTGACTCTACTGACTCTGCAGAAACATTTCCACCCCATGCTGCTAATTAAGGGCAAATTATTCTGCCTGCAATTTCTAGAAGTGCTAATACAGCTCTGCAAAGAAATTCTAGTTGTGTTCATAAAATCAAAATCACAGTCTTGCTTCCTTAGAACCTGATTCTGCTAATACATAGTATTGAGCTTGAATATAGCAATAGCTTTCTTTGAGAATACTCTATGAGATTTCAGTCTCCAACATGCATGTGTCCAACATTCCTGTTGGAGTCCTGTTCCAGTCTTGCAAGATTCTTTTATGGGTTATTAGTATTTCTGTGGCACATGAAGAGTGAATTTGGATTAAGTCATGGAAATTGCACTTTGAAAGTGTCATTCACAAGGGCAAACTTTTAATTATACATTCTTAAATGATTCAGCATGAAAAGCCTTGATCAAACATGATACACTCTCATAATATAGTTCTTAAGTCATAAGACATGAGCAGCAAGATATATTCTTAGAATATCTGTAAATAAATGTGTGACAGTCACCAAATTTGCATTTAATTAATTTTGTACATTTCTCTGTGTTGCCTTCCCAAGTGTGTTGCTCAGGTTTGCTCCTTTTACAAGCCCAGGTTTGTAACCAGGCATCTCAAGGGGTTGTTTGACTTCTCTGGAAAAGGACGTGCCCTGTCTTGCACTGATTAAGCCATTGCAGATGTGCAGCTCCATCCGTGGTGTTCACATAAGGCTTTCTGTTTTTTGAAGTTGGGAGTAATTTTAATGTAGCTCCCTTTTGTTGTTAATCCAGTTCACCCCAGGGAGCACAGCAGCTCCCCAGCCGTGTGAAGGCGAGGCTGACTGCTGTACCTGCAGTGTCTGTGTAGTTTGTTGGTGCTAGAGCCCCTGTACCTCATCCTTTGTTCACTCTATCTCTCATTTCATTATTATTTCATGGATTCTGAAATTGTATTCATGTTGAGTAACGTGCTGTGTCACCAGAGTCTTGTTCTGCTCTCTACCAAGGGGCTGCCTTGCCCACAAGAGTCTGTACCAGCAAGGCATTGGCATCTATAGGGGATGCAGAAAGGGAGGCAGGGCAACAACTCCTGAATCTGCTGCAAGGAAAGTTTTGGAAATGTCTTGAACATTGGATAAATTCACATCTGGCCCAGTAGATGTGGGAGTGAATCCATCACAAACATTTAGCCAGCCTGGTATGCAGCTTAATGAGATTGAGGACCAGCCTGTCTGGTGATAGGATTGCTCAGCTGGACAGAAGAGTGTTTTCTGGTTAGCCAGGCTGGAGTGGACAGGCTGATGGAGCAGGAGTTGATTGTGTGGGTTTGTGTGGTGCATTTTAGATGCCTTTTTCAAATTGTTTTGGCCATATTGCAGTGCTGTGCTGACTCATATTTGTCTCGACCTACTTTTCTCCAATATGTAAAATAAGTTCCAGATATGGAGACTGATTTCATGAGTTTGTTACATTCTGGCTTACTCTCATTAGAGTAAAAAATCTGTTCTGTGAAAACTGAGTTCTCAATAGCTTTCCTTTAGCAACAACTTCAGCTAGCTTGGTAATGAGGCCAAAAAGTGTTTAGTTATGGCATGGTGTCATTTTCACACAGGTCACTTCCCATCCTGCACTGTCTCATTCCAATAGCATGTCCAATGGTTTTGACATTCAGAGTTGTGAATAATAGATCCCTAATGTGTTTCCTTATTAAGCTCTAATTGTGTGGAAGACTGTCAACCTGGAATTTCTTTTTGACTTCTATTTGTCCTGAAGTCAAATTGATTAATTATTTAGTTCTGTTTATTCCAGTTTATATGGAAGTTTAAATATCTCAATACATGGAAAATTTTATTTTTAGTTCAGTGTGTTTTAAAAACCCAACCAGCAGCAAAAAAGGATCAATTTCAGTACTACAGGAGTCATAGTTCTGGGGTAGAAACTGACAATATATGAACATAAAGGTGTAATTATACTAATTATATATGGATTTTACCTTGATATTTGTAACACTGTGTTTCCTTTGGTGTTGTCGATGTACTTTTTATAATACTTAAAAATAGAATTCTTCAATTTACATAATATATAACTTATTTCAATAAAATCAGTGTATGATATCACTGACTAGCAAAGTGGCAGTAGTTTTACAAAGCTTAAAGGAATTTCTTAGGACACATGGTGCCAAGGTTTGCTGCTCTCTAATTGTGCTGTCCTGTTTTGCAGGTGGAACTTGACATCCTGTGGGACGAGCGTGGCCAGCTCGGAGTGCAGCGAGGAGCTGTTCTCCTCCGTGTCCGTGGGGGATCAGGATGATTGCTACTCTCTGCTGGATGACCAGGAGTTCACCTCTTTTGATCTGTTCCCCGAGGGCAGTGTCTGCAGTGATGTCTCCTCTTCTATCAGCACATACTGGGATTGGTCAGACAGCGAGTTTGAGTGGCAGGTAAACTGGTTCCGCTGGAAATGTAAAATAGACTATTGCATGCTGGATTTGGCTGTAGTTGAAAAGTCATAGAATAGAATATCCTGAGTTGGAAGGGACCCAGAAGGATCACTGAAGTCCAGCTCCTGCCCCTGTACAGGACAAGCCCAGGAATTACACCCTGTGACTGAGAGTGTTGCCCAAACACTCCTTGAACTCTGTGGCTTGGTGCTGTGACCACTGCCCTGAGGAGCCTGTTCCACTTCCTGGCCAGCCTCTGGGAGAAGAACCTTTTCCTGATACCTGACTTTAACTTGCCCTGACCTGGCATCCTGCTGTTCCCTTGTGTCCTGTCACTGATCACCAGAGAGGAGAGACTGTTGCCTCCCACTTCTCTTCCCCTCTTGAGGAAGCTGTAGACAGCTATGAAGTCTCCCCTCAGTCTCCTCTTCTGAACAAACCAAGTGACCTCAGCACTTGTTTCTTTGTAACTATTAAACATAGGAGCACATATCTGAATCTTGAACAATAGAAAAAATGTTTTGTTTCATTTTATTCCAACCTCCTTAATCAGGAGTTGAGACTGAAGGTCAGCTCTCCAAAGAAGGTCGCTTATGTGTGATGGTCACTTGGTTTTAGAGACCAGTCTGTGTTTCATGTAGCCATGAGCTTAGACCCTTTGTGCTGAGGATCTGCCCTGCTAATGAAATCTGGTTATAGATATCTGGCCCTATTGATACTTTCTAGGTAAAGTGTATGAACTCTAGCCATAGCTTATTTCTATCCTAATTTTTTCTATGCCAGTAAGAGTACAGAGCTCATTTTGTCTCACCAGAATGGGAAAGTAAATCACATCTTTTTCCCAAGCCTGTGCTGGATGCAGTCCTCATTGGGTATTTCTAGTTTGTGATAGTCTTCCCTGTTCAGCAGCTTTTCAAATGTGATATGCATTTTTAATGTATTATAGACCTAAACTGACTTTTTATATTAAAGACTTAAATCAGCTATGAATGCATACATAACTTTGAAATAGGTGACATAGGCCTTCAGAATTTTTTGGGGAATACTTGAAAATTTTGTCATAAAGCTTAGTCAGAGCATTAGACTATTGCATATAGAGTCTTGTAAGGATAGTACATGAACTGAAAACTGATTTCAAGAAAGCTCAAATCCTGTTCCAGAAGATGCAGGTGAACTTGAGACGTGTACTGAGATCAGCTTTGAATTTCTGACTGGTTTAGTCCACCTGCTGGTCTCAACAATGTATGTCATATCACTGAAATTAAGTGTGTGTGTGTATAATGCAGTCTGTAGGAACAGCTCAGGTTGGATCCCAAAGATTCAGAGCTTTATTGAGTTGTGAAATTTCATTTGCCTGATAAACTTGGCAATTGTTTTGAAAAGAAGCCATTTCCTATGCCTTAGCAAGCTGACAGTATGTTTGATTGGTAACCAGCTTTTTTATTGTTCTTTATTATTTAAAACAAGTTTTTCTTAAGAACTTACTTGATTGGATTTGTAGGATTTTGGAATGACTTTTTTGTAGCTCTTTATGGTGTTATCTGGCAGAATCTGAGCACAATGCAGCTGTCCCACTTTAACTGGAAGTGCATTCAGAAGTCACATATCAGTTGTATACATGAAGCTAGCTGAAGTTCTCAGTTGCTTCCAGGCAAATGGCAGTGATTTTAATTGAATTTTCTTGTGTAATTATGGAGTTTGGTAGGAATTACAGACCTGCTTTAAAATTATCTTCCTTAAACTAGACTTGTGCTCCAAAATGGGATGTGTAGATTTAGGCTGGATTGTCATGGACATTTTCCACTGATGGAGAAGGGAAATAGT